AGTAGATAATCTCTAAAGTTTCTTCCAACTTTGGTACTATAATATGAAATACACAAACAAGGTAAGAGAAAAAAATATCAATACAGCCATGAGATTAGAATTATTTATGTTAAAATAATATGTTACGACAAGAACACTTTATTTTATATACCCTTCTATTCTGTTTTCTGTCCATAAACAATTAAATGATCAAATTGTTTTTGTTGTTGTTCAGTCGTGTCTCACTCTTCATGACTCCATCTGGGGTTTTCTTGGCAAAGATACTGGAGTAGTTTGCCATGTCCTTCTTCAGCAGATGAGGAAACTGAGGCAAACACAGTTAAGTGACTTGCCCAGGGTTACACAGCTAAGAAATGGTTGAAGTGAGATTTGAACTTAGGAAGATGAGTCTTCCTGACTCTGGCTTGACACTCTATCCATTGTGCCACCTAGCTGCCCATAAAGTACTTTACAAATCTTAATTCTTTTTGTAAATTGCAGGTAATATTATTATACAGTACATATATTTTTGTTATTGTTGTTATATATGTAGTAATAGTCAAAATAAAAGTTTCTGTAATTATCTTTTCCTTACTTTGTATTACTGTATTTTTTTCCTATATATTTACATATATTTATATATAATATAATATATTATGTTATATTATATATTTATATATTCTTTATATTTGTCACTTTTAATGGCACAAAAATATTCTAATGCACTGATATACATTAATCTGTTCAGCATTTCCAACTGATGAACATGTCATTTATTATCAAGTATTTCTCAATACAAACAAAGCAGCAATGAGAATTTTTGTACAGACAGTTTAGTTTTTTTTCTTTTAATTGTGTCTTTGGGATATAGTCTTATACAATGCTTGGATATGGTCAATGGGTCAAAGGATTTGGTTAGATTTGTAACTCATTCTGAGTAATCAATAAATTAATAAATATTTATTAAGTGCCTACTATAAGCCAGCCACTATGCTAAGCACTGGGACACAAAAAGAGGCAAAAGATAGTTCCTACACTCAGGGAGCTCGCAGTCTAGAATTATGAGCATTAGAATTGAGGGGCTGGGAAAGCCTTCCTATATAAGACATCATTTTAGTTGAGACTTTAAAGAAGCCAAGAGGCGGAGATAAGGAGGGAGAGTATTCCAGGTATGTGAGACAGCCAGAGAGAATGCCCAGAGACAAGAGAAGGAGTGTCTTGTTTGTGGAATAGCAAGAAGATCAGTGTCAGTGGATTGATGAATATGTGCCAGGGAAGTGAGATGTAAGTAAACTCCAAAGGTGGGAGGGGGGCTAGGTTATGAAGGGCTTTGAACACTAAGCAAAAGATTTTTAATATATATTTAGTATATTAATTTAATTTTATTAATTAATTATTATATTTAATACATTTAATATTGGATGCAATATGAAGCCACTGGAATTACTGAGTAGGAGGGTGACATGGTCAGACCTGTACTTTGAAAAAATCACTTTAGTGGCTGAATAGAGTATGCATTGGAGTGGGGAGAGATTTGAAGCAGGCAGACCCACCAGTAGCTATTGTAATAGTCTACATGTGAAGTGATAAAGGCCTGCATCAAAGTGATGGAAATGTCAGAGGAGAGAAGAAGACATATTTGAGAGATGTTGCATAGGTGAAATCAACAGGCCTTGACATCTTCGTGGCTATAGGGGATGAGAGATAGTGAGAAGTCAAGGATAACTCCTAAGGTTGCAAGCCTGAAGGTCTGGGAAGATGATGTTGCCTTCTACAGTAATCAGGAAGAGAGAACTGATGAAGAAGGATAATGAGTTCCATTTTGGACATGTTGAGTTTAAGACTAGACATCTAGTTCAAGTTTTCTGAAAGGCATTTGGAGAGATTGGAGATCAGTAAAAAGGTAGGGTCAGGATAGGTAGACTTGAGAATCATCAGCAAAGACAGTAATTACATCCATGGGAGCTGATGAGATCACCAAGTGAAGTAGTACAGAGGGAAAAGAGAAGAGGGCTTAGGACAGATACCTGTGAGACAGATGCTGTTTGAAGGCATTATCTGGATGAGGATCCAGAAAAGGAGAGTGAAAAGGAGTGGTCTGACAGGTAGGAGGAGAACCAGGACAAGGTAGTATCTCAAAAACCTGGAGAGAAGAGAATATCAAAGAGGAAAAAGTGATAAATTGTGTCAAAGGCTGCAGAGAGGTGGAGGAGACTGAAGATTGAGAAAAGGCTGTTGGATTTCACAACTAAGACATCACTGGTAATTTTGGAGAGAACAATTTCACTGCTATGATAAAGTCAGAAGCCATATTATAAAGGGTTAAAAAGTGATTGAGAGGAGAAAAACTGTATATGTATATTATCATGCTGGTTTCCCAAAAAATCAAACCGTTTTCTAATTCCTACCCCCCTCTAATGTTGCAGAATGCCTATTCCCTTATTTTCTTACTTGAACTACTTTTGTCAGTTTTATTAGTATGAAGTGATATCAATTGTAGATGACTCTTGGTAGGAGTGCTAAGAAGAACTTACTTGTCCATTGACCACAGCGTGAGACAGGAAGTGTCAACATCAGCTTGAAAGAAGAGCAAGAGAAAAGAGAATTAAAATTATTTCTAGACCTTTAATTGCTTGGCCTTTCCTCCCTCTATCCTGTCTCCCATATGTTTTCACTTGCTATGATCCAAGACAGCACACTTATGCAGCTGTCTCTTAACTGTGTGATGACCCCAGCACAGTATGAGCTTCTAAGAAGACTCTTCTTGCTTTCTTATGTTTATTCCTCCTCAAAAGAAGTTGGTGACCTCGCTGACTTGAAAACCTGTCCCCTTGAAGGAATGGTCTAATGGACATTTTCAGAATCTTGACAGAAGAGACTTAGATTCAATCAATTCATTTGTTTCACATATGGAAATTAGTTTTAAAAAAGAAAGCTGATCATAAACCATGAACTGCCCTATGAGGCTAATTTCTTATGCAAATGTATGAAAGTTAAACACACATCCCTGGCTCCACTTCAACTCTATGTAAACATTCCTCCTGTTCAAGGCCAGCCCTAAAATGCAAGCAGAGGAGATGATTTCAATGTTCTCAGAACTAATAGGGGAAAGAGATTCCTGCTCCCAATTCCCCTCCACTGCTAGTGCTCTCAGCAACTGACTGTTACTGGTGGCCTGAATTCCCTAAAGAAAAAAGACATGATTTCTTTAACATGAGGACTATTTATAAGGCACTAAGCTAGAATAAATGTGGAAATATGGGGACATTTCTAGCTTAATCAAATATAGAATTGTTACTAAAAATATCTTCTATAAGTTGATACACAACCTTGAATGCAAACCTTAAAAATATGCGTACATACATGGGAGTACAGCAAATCAGATGTAATTGGATTGTATTCACTCACATATACATATTTATTTATCTCACTTTAGCCCTATTGGTCTTGTTTAACATGAAGGCATATACATAGCCTGGTAGATCTAAACTCCAGCACAAGAGGATGAAAATAAATAATAGGAGTTGTCAGAAGGGTGATACAGTGAATAGTCACTGGCCTTGAAGTCAGAGAGATCTGAGTTTGAATCCTACCTCAAATACTTACTAGATGTGTGATTCTAGGCAAGTCACTTAACCTGCCTAATTTTCTTAGTTTCCTTTTCTTAAAAAAAAGGGGAATAGTAACAACAGTTTCCTCCTAGAGTTATTGTGAGATTCAAACGAGATGACAGATTTAAAGCACTTTGCAAACCTTAAAGTACTGTAATAAATGCTATCTATCTTTAGGGGGAAAGATATTGAGGAAATGTAGGGAGAGAAATTATTTTCTGAACAAATGAGCTAAGCTATACATACACACAGGTGATAAAGGAATATATATTGGGCAGCTTAATAACTCTTTGGGCATAATTCCAGATTACTCTCCAAAATGGTCAGATCAGTTCACTTTTCCACCAACAATAAATTAGTGTCCCAATTCATCGGGGGAGGGGGAGAGAAAAAACAAGGAAAAAAAGAAATTTACGTGATAACTTTATTATATTTAAAAGAAATAGCAGGTTGTACATAATAGATGTGTATTTTTGTGTGCATTTTTAAAAATTCTACTGTTATGGAAATGCTTGCTTTATTTCATAAGTTAAAATAAAATTCAAGAAAAGGAATATATATTTGGAAGGAAGGAAAGAAGAAAAATCAGGAAAGAGAGTCTCAGTTAAATAGATAACTCCTCAAGGGTTCTTTTCAATTTAACAAACACACCAATCAATCAACAATTTATTAATCTCCTACTACGTTGTAGGCATGAGGCTGAAGTGGGGAATATAAATACAAAAGTGAGGCTATCCCTGTCCTCAAGAAGTTTAAATTCTATTGGGGGGGGAGTGCGGTTGGGGTCTGAAATGCTACATATGCACAGATAAGTGGGTACAAGGCAATTTGAGGGGGAGAAACATTAGTAACAGAGGGAATCCTAGACGTTTCACACAAAAGGTAGCCCCTGAGCTGAACCTTAAATAAAAATCAAGTCCTGACAGAGATGAGGAAGGAGCGCCTTTCAGGTAAGGTAGAAAATTTGACTGAAGGTATGGAGATGGGGGTGGAGGATGGGGTGAAAAGTTGAGCTTTGAAACATGAGACCTCTTTAGCTGGAGTATGTTAAGGGGAGTAATATAAAATAATCTGAAAGGCAGATTAAAACCACATCATGGAGAGATTTCTATGTCATCCTGAGAAATTTGCGTTTTATCTAAGAGGCAAAAGGGCAAATGAAGATCTGCTTTAGCCGGGAAGCAAGTAAAAAGGTTAAGCCTATTCCTTAAACCAAATATTTGGTGATAGAGGAAAGAAAGCATTGGAGAAAAGAGATTGGCAGAGACTCCAATTAGAAGTTTGTGATGAAGGTCTAATCTAGAGCCTTACCTAGATTGGCAATCCAGAGCCTACACCATTGCTGCACCTAGCCAAGCAGGATATCCGTATTCCATTTCTCTTCACTCTTCTCTTTACCTTCAGGACAAAACTGAATCTGTCATGCCATCAGAATTCCTGGCTGTTGATATGGTCCAACTGAGAACTTCTGTCTAAAATAAAGTTGTGGCTGTATAAAAGGAGAGGGATCTGAAATATGTTGTGGAGACAGGACTGGTAAGCCATTTATATTGGGGAGAAGAGTGAAAAATCAAGGGTAATTCTAAACTTGGCTGACTAGAGAAAATGGTGGTCCCCTCAACAGAAATAATTAAGTTTGGAAGATGGAGAGGTTTAGGGAGGAATAGAACAAGTTCTATTTTGGACCTGTTGAGTTTGAAATAGCAAACATCTAGGTAGAGACATCTAGCAGACTGGGTGATGTGTTATCCAGGTTTAGGAGAGAGGTTAAAGCTGACTATAGAGATTTGGCCAGCACATGTGTAGAGATGATCATTGAGTTCATGAGGACTGATGGGAAACAGTATAACAAAGAAAAGAAGAGGGCTCAGGACAGAGACTTAGGAGACATCCACAATTATGGACCAAGAAAAAGAGGATGATGCAGCAAGGTAACCAAGACTAGAAGGATCAATAAGACAGTTAAAAGAATGAGAAGAGAATATCATCACGAAAACCCAGAGAGGAGAGCATATCCAGGAGAAGGGGTAGAAAACAGTATAAAATGAATGAGAGTTGTCAAATACATGAGGACTGAAAGTCATTGCATTTAACAACTAAGAGATTATGATAACTGTCGAGAAGAGTTGTATTCCATTGACAAAGCAGGAAGCCAGATTGTAAGGGATTCAGAGTTGAGAGGCAGGTGAAGAAGTAGAAATAGCAAGGGTAAACAACTTTTTCCAGAACTTGTAAAGGAGAAGAATATGGGAAAATAGCCTATGGAAATGGCAGGTCAAAATGAAGGTTTTTAAAAGGATGGGGTTGCGATGGGGAGTTGGTCCTGGTTGTTGTCAGTAGAGAAGCCAATAGATGACATTGAAGATAAAAGGGAGGGAATCATGGAAAAGAAGTTCACAGAAGAGAGATGCAAATGGCTGTGATCCAGAGGGGTTGTGTAGGCAACTGTACCTTGGAGACTGTAATCAAAGAGGAGAGAATGGGGTGGGTGGGGGCTGGGGGGGCACAAGGATGATAAGGCTGGGATTTTTATTTGTGGCGTAGGAGAGAAGACAGAACTCCCAGCGGATGATCTTAATTTTATCAGTAAAGTAGGAGGCTAAAGACCTCGGCTGAAAGGGAGGGCATAGGGGACAAGAGGAAGGGGCTTGAGCAACTGTTGGAGGGAGAATGATAAATAGTTAAGTTGTTGTTCATTTGTTTCAGTCATGTCTGACTGTTTGTGATGCTATTTGGGGTTTTCTTGGCAAACATACTAGAATGGTTTGCCATTTCCTTTTCAAGATCATTTTACAGATAAGGAAACTGAGGCAAACAGGGTTAAGTGAGTTGCACAAGGTCACAGCTAGTAAGTGTCTGAGGCTGGATTTGAACTCATAAAGATGACTCTTTCTGATTCCAAGCCCAATGCTCTATCCACTGTGCCAATTTGCTGCCTCTAGATAGTCAAGTAGAGAACAACAAAGGAAATAGTGTGCAGTATTTCTCTAACTTAAATCACTACGCACCTGAGACTAGTTTATGTTCTGGATAATGCTACAGATTTCAGTGACCCATGTCTTGCATCAGAGCAAGGCAAATATTAAAGACACATTCCTCAGGAATGCTCTCACAATCCAAGACCACTTTCCTGGCCTGGTCGGGCCATTTATGTGAAGTTCCTCCTGGGCCATTTCTCTATAGCCTATTATACCAGCCCCCCTACCCCCAACTTTTGAGACAAAATCCCACCTTCTGAATTCTAAGTTGTCAGACCTACTTATGAAGAGGTCTAGGACTTTGGGGGTGCTTCTGGGAACCCCCAAGATTGCGATGTCGGGCCCTGTCTGAATTAATTCAACTCAAATCTTCTTCCAGCCAGAGAAAAGTTTATTGTTATGCTTTTCAGCGGGCAAGGATTCTTAAGGATCCTGCAATCTTAGCATGGTACAGTTAAAGTTTATATAGGATAAAATACAATAAAACATGTGCCAAATATGCTAACAAGGTGATTCAGGGTGGGATTAGGGAGTGGTTAAAGAGTGGTCAGTTTCTTAAAAGAACATGCACTTCTTGTATTTACTGTGCAAGCATTTTACCCAGACTTCACTAGGAAAAGCCCACAAGGGGGGCCACATGGAGGTGTGGTTTTAGGCCTGCTACGTCACTAAGTTAACTAGAGTTTAGGGGTAACTGAGAGTTGTGCAGTCTGCCACCAATCAACGTTGTGTTTGACAAGAGAGAAGTAGGGAGTATATATATATGTCTTAAGTCTAGGATACAGTTAATGAGGAGCCCAGGATGTAGATAGTGAGGTAGGGCAGTAGTATAGATAGTCCAGTGGGTAAGAATGTCTTTATGACCCAGTGCAAAGCCAGTTCAAATTAATAATTCGTTCAGGTGCTGTTTGTTACTGCACCAGGGAGAGAGATAAGGGTCTTGCTGGGGCCCACTCATGAGTAATTGCTAGGCACAGTGTCTTTGCGCTAGGGAGAAACTGTCAGGGATAGTGTTTCTGAAGCTAGGGAGAAATTGGGGTCCAAGTACAAGTACCCAAACATAAGCACCCAAGCACCCCATCAGTTAGACCATGGGATTTGGAGGTACATATTTACAAAGGCAAGATGGTAGATAGAGAGCTTACCTTGGGGTCAGGGAGAGCTGGGTAAAAAGTCTTATCTCTGTCACACACTGACTACACAATCCTAGACTAGACCCTCTTGGTGCCTTAGGCAAATCTGTTTATCAGTTGCTGTTGGGTAGAGAGAGGTCCCTTATCCAAAGTTCCCTACACCAAGGAAATCTGCAGGAACTGACAACTTCCGTCTCCTCCCTTCCCCCAAAAGAGGAGAGCCAAAAGGTTTCTGCCTTCTCTTTTATCTAATCACTCAGCCTAGAAAGTTTCCCCCTTTTCAGATCTGTTCAGGGAGGGGATAGGTAAGAGAGAAAGGAAAAGATGTATCATTGCTCACCTATTCCTAATTATTAGAAGGTTATAAGGTCAATCAATAATTATGATACTGTCATTGATAATATTCAAGAAGACTTGTGTAAGTAAAGCTGGAAGAAATACCAACCTCCCCACTGTTAGTATTTAATTCTTTTAATTTAAGGTCTTAGTACCTTATTGAACTTTAAATGCCCCAGGAGAAGGAATACTTAAATGTGTAATCAGTGCTAATGAGTTTATGGGATCCTTTCCAGAGAAAAGATTTCGAGGGCATTAAATCCTCAAGGTTTCAAGAGGAGTACCACTGACCATGGGAAAAGGATCATAGATTTAGAAGTGGAAGGGACATCAGAGACCTTCTCGATTAACCTCCTCATTTTATAGATGAGAAATTGAGGCCCATAGATGTCACATGGGGGTTTGACAGAGTCAGGATGTGAACCCATGTCTTGACTCCAGAGTCAGTAGTCTTTCCTCTATAGCCTATTGCCTCCATACTAAAAAAACATGGGCAGATTCAGAGACAAACTTCACTTCCTTCACAGTCTGATTAGGCCTGTGTCTGGCCCTATTCTCATATCATTATGAGAGATGAACTCTCAGAGGTGAAGCCTCCTCAAAAGGTCAATAATTTTTGACTATTATTTTCAACACCCCCCCCACTCACACCCTGTTTTTAAGCATGTAACAGAAAGAATAAGCCCTGCCCCACTCCCAACCTGAGCCGTTTGCCCTTGGCTTCCCGCCTCTTCCCTTGTCTTTGAATTTTGGGCCTGGAATGTAAGCCCCACCTCCCAGTTATGGGGATAGGAAGAAACTTTCGAGCTTAGAATGTAAGCCCACCCCCAGTTAAGGGGGGAAGGGATAGTGGTGGGTGGAGACTTGTTTGCATAGTGGGTGGAGACTTTTCATGGTGAGCAGAGATTTGCTTTTATAAGGCGGCCCCTGTTATGAGGTCTGTCTCTCTCTCCACCTGTATGGAAGGACAGTCGATCTCTCGAGATTGTAGTAAAGGCAACCTTTGCTTTCCACCTTGAGAAGTCTCTGAGTTTAATTTGGGTTAGGGTCGCTGCCCCACACAGCTTGATGGTATAGGAACACAGGGACTGATCCAAGTTGCCAAAACCATCACCACCATCAAAATCAGCATCAGTTGAAAACTTACTGGGTCCATGGTCCTCTGCCAGGTAAGGCTGGTGTGACTTGAGTTTTAATTCAATGAAATCAAATCCAACAAACATGTATTCATTGTTTACTATATGCAAAGCACTAGGCTCGATCTAGATGAAATATACGAAGATGAAAAGTACACATTTTCTTCTCCCAAAGAGCTTACTAGATGAACTATTTGAGGTTTATGAATTTCATTGCTAAGTGACCCACTACTTTCAAGTGTATATGAAAGACAGAGCACCATCATTCAGTTTTTGATGAATTATCAGGTCATTGCAATGTTAGTGATGGGTTGGGATCTGGGCCCCAGAAAGGAAAAACCCTGGATTTTCCCACATGGCGAATCTCTGGCGTTAGCCTGAGGCTATAATCCCATCAATTGGCCTTTCATTGTGGCTACACCCAATCTCCCAATTCTGTTAACCTAGCCTGGCCTTCTTTTGTCTTACCTCCCTATGTATGGCCCCCAGCCATTTCCCACCCTTAATTCTAGCTAGGCTCCATTCTTCCTTGGCCATGAGGTCCAAGTCCTAGGAGTTCTGTTCACCTCAGGTTACTGCCCACTCCTAGGTCCCTCCCATAGTCTTTCTGTATATAAGATCCACCTTGTCTCTATTAAGATGCTTAGATTCTTATAATCTAGCCACTGCTTACCCATGTTCAGACTCCTTAAGAGTCTGCCCAATATGATGGATGTTCTAATAAACCCTGTCTTTGGCTGAAAGAAAGCCTGGGTCAAATTCTTTTGGACAGGACCCACGTGTTGTGATTTTGGGGTCCCAGCACCCCTGAGCCCCTAAACCAGATCATTAGTACTTAATAAAATCTTGGAATTGGAAGAGATGTTTAGGTATTTGGTCATTGCTTTTTAGTGAAAATATTCCCTCTCTACCATAAATAAAAGTCCTAGGAGGTTGCAGTAGTTAGAGTGCCA